AGCCTTCATTCCACATCAGATTTGACACATCGGTTGGAGTGATGTGAGATGTTATTTATAGCTATTAAATGTCTATGTGGCACGTTTGACACATCGGTTGGAGATGCTCTTACGATTATACCATTGATTTTTCTTTAATTTACGGTTATGCCATTCACTCTCCTTGAATTAACGATTATGGCATTAGTTTTGCTTGAATTACGATTCCCATTGATTTTTCTTGAATTTATGGTTATGCCATTATGTTTTTTTTAATTTACGGTTATACCATTGATTTTGCACGAATTTACGAATATGCCATTATTTTCTTGAATCTACATTTATGCTATTGATTTTGCTTGAATTCATAATCATGCCACCACTTTTACCTGGATTTACAATTACGCCAATCATTTTGCTTGAATTTACAGTTATGCCATCGATTTTGCTTGAATTTATAATGCCAGATATTTTAACCGTATAGCCGGGCGGCTATACTGCACGCGAAGACAAAAAAGCCCACAAACGGCGCGTTTTATAACTGGATAAACGACCACGAAACCAAACCACTTATAACCTTAGATAAGGCACTTATTTTACTCTCTGGCTTTGGGTAGCCATGGCTGAAGCTTCAAGAGTTCTGCAGACCACTCTCATTCCCAGCTTCCATCCACAACACAAAAGTCCCATATTTCAGTCACTCCCATTGAATTTCCGCAGAAACCCAATTCAGTGCACAGTCTCCACAAGTAACAGCACCAAAGCCACAGTGCCCCAGAAAATCCCATGGGGCTGTGAAAGTGATTCTTTGGAAAACGCTTCTGCCCTGCAGAAATGGCTGACTGACTCGGGCCTTCCACCCCAGAAAATGGCCCTGAAAAAAGTGGAAGTTGGGGAGAGAGGACTGGTTGCTTTGAAGAATATAAGGAAGGGGGAGAAGCTGCTCTTTGTGCCTCCCTCTCTGTTTATCACTGCAGACTCAGTAAGATCTTCTCTGGAAAATTTTCTGAAAGTTACTCAAATGCCCTTTTCTTTATTTCAATTTCATAAAATGATTTGGCTGCCAGTGATTATGTATTGGACACTGATGCTTTTCTCTATCTATGATGTTTGTTGTGCTTGTCTTGTTTTAAATGTTAGGAGTGGACTTGTGGGGAGGCTGGTAAGGTGTTGAAGCAAAATGGTGTGCCTGACTGGCCATTTCTTGCCACCTATCTGATTAGTGAAGCAAGCTCCCTTGAATCTTCTAGATGGAGCAACTATATTTCTGCCTTACCAAGACAGCCTTATTCACTTCTGTATTGGTAAGCGTTAAGAATCTCTTTTCCATGATTTATTCCAATGGTGGAATTTTCATGAGTCTATCATTTATTATGGGAAGAGTCTACTCTCAGGCTTTTTCTACAGCCTTTATATATCATTTCAGGACTCGCGAAGAACTTGATCGGTATTTGGAAGCATCACAAATTAGACAACGGGCAATTGAAAGAGTTACTAATGTTGTTGGAACGTAAGGCCCTGTGTTTTCTATTATAATTTTCTTCAAAGCTTTGTTGTTCCGTCATTTGTAACTTTTGGTATATACTATTCTCAACTTAATGTTGTGGTGAGTTCATGATCTTGTAATTGCTGAACTGACTATTTATTCCTATCTCTGGCGCAGATACAATGATTTAAGGCTTAGAATATTCTCCAAGTATCCTGCTTTATTTCCTGAAGAGGTATTAAACTTATATAGGCCAGTTGCATATATATACACATATACGTATACATGCTGATGGAACAACCTCCTACTACTACTCTTCCTTGATTCTGTCATAACTAGTGGAGATCTTTTTAACATTGCTCAATTCAAGAGCCAGATCAGTTTTCGATCAATGATCTGCATACAATTATCTGGATTCCGTAAATTTACTCATACTTTTTTATCTCCATATCATATAGTGAAACTATCCTTCATTTTGAGCGTAATGTGCACGTTCTAAATTTCAATGCATGTATGCTTTGCTACTGTTGGACTTTAACCACATGTCATCTCTGATTTTGCCCCATGTGTGACTTCCCTCCTTGTATTATAAACAGGTATTCAACATAGAAACCTTCAAATGGTCATTTGGAATTCTTTTCTCACGCTTGGTAAGTGAAGTACTTAGTTTATAATGACAATGCCATGCTAAATTTGTTTCTGAATCTACAGAATGGTGTCAAATTGTACCAGTTGTTTGACCTTGTGAAGAGAATGGTTGTTAAAGTACACAAATTTATGATGTGATATGATTCCATCATCAATATCATGTGGGAAAGGAAGAAATTATCCAAAAACCCTCTGGTTACTGCTTCTCCAATGTAACTCTCCTAATGCACATGCTGTGGATCTTGAACATTAACTGAGCACTTTCCTTAACTAAAAAGATGATGGGCCTAAAATTCTGATACGAAGTAGGCATACTTCAAATGTTTGTTTAGAAAATATTATTGACTTGATCTGCCTGTGTTGTCCAAGCACCATCTCTCAGAAAGTCTATATCTTCTTTTTTCCTTGGTACTGTCTCACATTTTATTTTTTTGTGCTGTATCAGCTGGTACTGAAATAGCACGTTGCTTGAAATTTGATATTGGATATTTCCTCTAAAAGGCAATATTGGTTTGTACAACATATGACCTCAACGTCTTTTTTTTCTCATAAGCACAGGTTCGGTTACCCTCGTTGGGTGGAAAGGTTGCCTTGGTTCCTTGGGCAGATATGCTGAACCATAGTTGTGAGGTTTGTCAGAGTCTCTTTCAGTAAACATGATCTGAAGTATTACCTTCACAAGTCTTACTCACTATGTGCATCTTAATTTGACTTCTGTAGGTAGACGCATTTTTGGATTACGATAAATCATCACAGGGAGTTGTCTTTTCAACAGATGTGTCATATGAGCCAGGTGAGCAGGTAAACAATGGCCTTTTTTCACAACTGTAGGTATAAATCAATTATTGAAGTTGCAAAGACATACCCAAAAAAGAAATAATTGAAAAGCATTAATTCAATGTCTTTTTAGGTTAATCATTACTTAGTTACGTGTTTAATCATCAACACCTCTAGTGATTCCTTTTCATCACTTAATGCAGGTTTTTATTTCCTATGGCAAGAAATCTAATGGGGAGCTACTGTTATCCTATGGGTTTGTCCCAAGGGAGGGCACCAACCCTAGAGATTCTGTTGAG